AGCGTGAGGCACCTTCGCTTTGAGGACATGGGCCCCGACACCCTGAAAGCCTCCTGGGACCCTGCCGACGGGGACGTCCTGGGTTACAGGGTGAGATGCCGGCGGCAAGCGGGCCCTTCGTCCGTGCTCAGCGTGTCCCCCCGCATCCACAGCGTGCTCCTCACGGACCTGCCCGCGGGCACCACCAACCGGGTGTGCGTGAAGCCCGTGTACAGGAGCCAGGCAGGCAAAGGGCTGTGCCGCACGGTGCGCATGCAGCCAGGTGAGCTGGGGAGGAAGGGGTCGGTCCTGGGGCACTTTAGCCAAGGGAAAGGGTATTGAAGGGCACTGAAGTGCTGGGCATCCAGCACAGAGGGACCCCCCGTTGCTGCAATACTCTGTGCTCATCAGCTGCCTTGCCAACAGGGCTTCATCGCAGCTGCCAGCCCAAAGGGACTGCCCAAAGCCGGGTCTGGCCCCCGTGTTTAAGAGCAATGCTCCTCCTAGTGGCATTATGTCTGCACGCAGGGGAAAAGGGGCGCAGTGAAGACAGGCCTGCCTTTCCTTTGGGATAAGGAGGATTGCTAAGAGCTGGCATGGGCATTGGAAGTGCTGTTTAAAAGTCACTCCAACTCTTGGCTGCCCTTCACTTTGCAACGTGGCAGGGACTAGCCGCTATTGAACACAGCTACTAAGGCACAGCACATCCTTCTTCCTCCCACTGCCTAGAAGCTGCTTACTGTCATGAAGCACAGCGGGATTCTCGACTGAAGTAAGAGCTCAGATGCTGTGTGACAGTGCAGGAGCACAGCCTATTCCCCAGCAAGCAGCTGGAGTGGTGATGGTGACCACGGGGGTGAGGTCTGTGACCCAGTCGCAGTTGGAGAATGCATGGATCAAGCTGACGTTATGTTTCTTGTGCTCTCTCCAGCTACAGAGGCCCAAGGGTATAAGCACAGACAGCGAGCGTGACGGTACCTGGAACGAACTGATTCCCAGCAGAGCAAGGGCTCCTGCTTGGACAAAGACTTGGACAAAAAGGAGGGGTCAGGAAGGAGACTGGAAAGCTCCCAGATCATCTCCCAGCCTGCGCTGTCCACTGAGGTGTCCTGGTTGTCAAGCCTCAAGGCTGGCCTCAAGCCGAGTGCTCCCAAAGCTTAAAGGTTTGGTTTGGCTGGAAGGAGCAGCCGATCCGACCAATAGATCCCAAATCCGTACCCTCTTCTATATCAATGCCTGACAAATAACAAACCAAAGGCCAAGTGCTGAATCCTCCCTCCCGCTTGCTTCCTGCCTATGCTCTATTTATTAAACGTTGATGCTGGTTTATTCCTGCAGCTTAGGAACATGTTCACACCGGGCTGCTTCTGCCCTGCCCTACCCCTGTGGGCAGCTGCCCTCGGAAAGGGGACACATGGCCAAATCCATTCCTGCTGTCAACTGCCCTTGAAGCTGAAGCCTGCCAAAGAGCAGCTTCCCATCGACTCGTCCACTGTACTCCACAGGTAGCTCAAAGGAGGCCTCTCAAAGGTATAGCATGGAAGGGGAAAGCATTAGCAGGAAGAGGAGTAGCAGGAAAGAAATGTACGGTATGCAGAGGAGGTTGGGTCAGAGCCACCAGGGTTTCTGGGAAGAGGAGGAAAAGCGGTTGTTAACACACTCAGCCTTTGGCCAGGACATGGAGGAGACACCCTAAAAACCATCCTGCCTCTTATAGACTGCCAGGACAGTTCAGGGTTCCCAGCTGGGCTTTGGTTTATGGCAGAGCTCAGTGAGCGATATGGCCATGCTGGCGTGGATGAGTGCTGTCAGGGGGCTCCAGCAGAGAAGTTTGCTCACGCTCTGCCTGCTGAGCTCTTGAGTCTCATCAACGCTGCCCCACTTCCCCCTGTGGCACTGGTATTAGGTCCATGTGCTGGAATGAGGTACAGATCCCAGAGGGACTGTGAAAGGCTCGAATTCCCCAAGCCCTTTGTCTGGGAGAGCAGGAAAGTCAAAACCTTGGGAATTTCCTTCCCCTGCAGGTTATTCCACTCTAGAGCTCGCGTCCTTCAGCTGAGTTCATTGAGCAGCAGAGAGGCAAGAAAAGCCAGACGGCAAGAGCATCTACAGGACGTAGTTTTGCCTCTCATTCAGATACACACCTCCCAGCCCCAGCGCAGGGCTGCCTGGATCACGACCGTTGCGTTACTGCGACCTATCTGCAACTAGTTTAATCAAACTGGATGCAAGCCCTGCTACCAGAGCAGCTGTGTGGAGCTTAATTAGCCTAAGTATGGGCAGTAGGTACCCAGTGCTATCATTCCAGGCTCTAGCCTCTGAAAACCCCCAGCACATCTTTAGTGTCTTGTCCTGGGCTTCCACTCACTGCTAAGCTTGAGCTATACTTAAAAATAGGGATTTTAGGGGAGAAGAGTAAATCTCATTCTCCCCCTTTGGCCCCTGGCTCAAATTTGCTGTCATGAAGCTACGCCTTGCAAAAAGGGAGCTGGGGGAAGAAAGGACAATTTTCATACCTAGTAACAAAGCTGTTGGATGAGGGCAGCTCCAAAACTGAGGGCTTAGGGCTGTAAAGACATGTCCATAGTTCTGCTAACAAACCCCACATCACTGGGAGCACCTTCCCTCAGCAATGCTTGCCCTGTTTTAGCTCTGTTGCTTATTTGTCCTGCACATGGAATGGTGGTTTTAAGCTGTACATTGGAGAGCCCCCACACAGTGGGTCTCCATCCTGCAACCCCTCTGCTTAGGGACTTCTTAAAGCAGCTCCTAGCAAGCCATGAGGACCTTGTCTCCTGAGCGCCGGATTCTTCACGTCTAGCTCTATGGAGCTTTCGCCTTGGGCTGCCTTCTTGTAGACGAGGAAGGGATAGGAGGGAAGCAAGTCATTCATTAACTCGATAAGAAGCTTTGTGTCTCCTTTGGAATGCGTGTTTGTGACTGATTAACATGCACGGAGCCTGTATCGAGGGGAAGATAAAGCCTCTGGAATCGCTCCTGCAATAAGATAATCTTGTTCATTCTTGCTGTAGGACAAAGCAGCTCTGCACAGCTCCCTGCCTAGTTTACTCGTGCATTAACGTGTCAGCCGCCCAATTGTAATGCATCATTTTGAAGGCAATTAAACACACAGCACAAGAGCTACCGAACGATTACTGAGCAATGTGTCCTAATGAGAAGTATTCCTCACTGGAAAGCATTCCTCCCAGGCTTTCCCAGTCTGCTTTACATGGAACTCCCCCGAATAAAGGTGTCAAGTATCTAAGTAGAAATATATCAGTCTCAATGTCTCAGCTTCAGTAATAAGGAGCCAAGGAGTAAATACCCCTTAAACCTTGGCAGAACCGGTGGTACTCGTGGACAGGAACATTGAATGGGGACAGGTGAGTTAAATTAACTTCGTTTTAACTCAAGCCTAATGATTTCTAGGGCTATTTGAGCATCTCTGTGCTGATAGCATGGGTGTGACACCCAACCGCCTACACAGGGTGAGAGCACAACCCGTCGTGGCTCCCAGGAGGAGCTCACTTCCATGTGCGTGGACGACCGTACCTGCACTGTACTGTACAAGCACAGCTGGAGTTCAGATGCACGAGCTGGTGGCTCACAGCAGTGTGGGAAGGGTTTGATCTGTATTTGGTGTTTAATTGACTGTAGTGGGTGCCTGCCTGCTACAAACAGGCTTAACTCTGACAGCTTCACTAGGAAATAGAAGCCAGGGGGCACCTTGAAGGTGTGGAAGCTCAGGGAATGTTTTTATCACACAGGAAAGGTGAAGGAAAAGGTTCCCTCAGTCCAGAATTGGTGCTGATGGCACAAGCTGAGTGGGGAGCCTGATCGTGGACAGCGAAATGGGCTCATAAACAGCCTGCAAGGGCAATTGTCAGTGGGTGAGTTGGGCTTTCCTGTTGCACTTTGCAGTGCTGCCATCAAATAAATCATTATGAGCCATTCGATATCCATGCACGGAGCCAAGGTGAGAAACTAAAGATGGAAATGAGAAAACCGCAGGGAAAATATGGTTTCATTGGGAGGAATAGGTCTGTAGCAGCCATCAGCTGCTTCTGCCACTGCATGGGTGAATGTGGCAGTAGGGAATCACCGAGTCATTTATTTACATATATATATACACACACATGTATGTGCATGTATACATATATAGGTATGTATATATATGTATATAAACATATGTGTATATATGTATATATACATATATATGTGTGTATATACGTGTGTATATATGTATATGTGTGTATATGTGTGTGTATATGTATGTATATGTGTCTATACATATATGCGTGTATACGTGTGTATATATACATATGTGTGTATAAATATACATATATAGACACATATATATATTTAGAGCAAGAAATAGCACTGATTTATTTATTATTTCTATACGTGGGGCAAGAAATGAGCCTCCTGGGCCACCAGCAGTAAATTATAACGATATTATTATTAAGAATAAGTCCGATATAAACACCAAGCATCCTGCAGGAACTTTTTGAGGGAGTTAAGTGTGCGTTTAGGAAGAAATATGACCATTTAAAGGCGGACACTTGGCTGCCTGTCCCCGCCCGTGTGCCATCGCCGAGCACGCTCCGGCTGTGTTCTATGCTGTACACCATTCCAGGCCGCGGGGTCTCACACACGAGCCTTACAGCCGTGACTTTTACCGCTCCATCTCTTCCTTTCCCCTTTCTTTCCCCATTATTTTGGGTGTTTTCCCCATCGCAGCAGCCGCCCCGTATCCGCCTCACCGCCCTTAGCAACCCCACAGCGCGCCCGTTGCTGGGGAGGGCGCCCCGGACCTAGTTTGTCCTTCTCCGCCCTCCGTCCCCCCAACGGCTCAGCGGCCCCGCCCACTCTCCTCCTCCACAGCCAATCAAATTCCTCCCACTGACCAATCAGGAGGCGGGCGTGGTGACGCGCTCTGCGCGACGTCTCCCTTGTCCAATAGGAACCCGCCCGTGCCGCCGTCGCGCTGGGAGCGGCGCGTCCGTGCCTCGGGTGCGTGCGCCGCCGCCGGCCGCCCTCCCTCCCTCATGTCGTGGCTGTTCGGGCTGAACCGCGGCGCGGCCCCCGCGGGCGGCGGGGACGGAGCCCCCGGCGGCTCCGGTCTGTCCCTGCCGCCGGTCCCCGGCGGGGCTGGAGCGGCAGCGGGGAGCGCGGGCGGGGAGCGCCAGCAGCCCAAGGACAAATGGAGCAACTTCGACCCCACGGGCCTGGAGCGGGCGGCCAAGGCGGCGCGGGAGCTCGATGCGTCCCGTGCGTGAGGGGGCACGGGGCGGCCGCAGGGCGGGGGGGGGAGGCGGTGCCTCGCGGCCTGCCCCGTGTTGGAGAGGAGCGTGGGCCCTCCACGTGTTTGGGTTCATCCGGGGCATGGGCCGGGGAGGGGGCACCGGGTGAGGACGGGCTGGAGGGGGCTTGGAGCAAGCCGCTCTAGCGGGAGGTGGCCCTGCCCGTGGCAGGGGCTTGGAGCTGGAGGAGCTTTGAGGTCCCTTCAACCCAAACCCCCTGTCAGCAGGGAGGGTTTACACCTGGCTCTTGTGCTGTGCATCGGGCACCCTCAGCTTGTGAGAGGTTGGGCTGAAGGTTGACTAGACCGAGTGTTTTCTTCTTTGATTAAATACCTTTGTACTGACAATAATTTCCTCCCATTGTTGACTTCAGGCCATGCCAAAGATGCTCTTAGTCTCGCCCAGATGCAAGAGCAGACCCTGCAGCTGGAACAGCAAACAAAGCTTAAGGTACGTTGGAACTCATCATTCATTGGACAGCCAGCCCTCCCCGGGCATTTCTTGTGCAGTTGTCACCAGCATTTCTCCATAGGGTGACCTGTTGAGCTCTGTTGTGATGATTCTCTCTTTAACAGGAGTATGAAGCTGCCATAGAACAACTGAAGAATGAGCAGATACGGGTACAAGCAGAAGAGAGACGGAAGACACTCAGTGAAGAAACAAAACAGCATCAAGCAGTAAGGGAATGAGGGAGAAGCCAGTCCTTGCTTGTGTCCTCCTTTATGGAAAAGGCAGCGATGCGTTAACTGAACTTTTAGGGAGGTGCTGTGGAACGTGGTTAAATACATTCATGTCTAACAGTGTTAAAGGTTGAAGACTACTGGCTTATTTAGCATATGTGTAAGACTGGACAATGAGATGTCTCTTTAAGTTGTTTGTTTCAGTCTTAAGTAGCCTGCATCCTCATTTCTTCCAAGTTTCATCTTTTAGACTGGAAAAAGTAGCTTAAGAGGGGAAGTGATGCAACTCTGAATGATGCAATGTTGGTGCTTTTTGGTATGTTTTAGCATGCGTTACTGAAGTGACAATAACACTGAAGTTGGGGAGGTACAAGCTAGTTTTTATGCTAACAGTTCACATATGGTGACTTTCTACTTGGAGAGCATAGGAAATTAGGGGGTTGATTGATTCCAATTGGTGCTCTAGCTTATGAAGATAGGTAAAGCTGTTTGGCACGTGTTGGTTTTTATCCCTTCAGAGTTTGGACTTTGGACGGGGCTGGCTCAGGAACAGGCTTCTCAGGCATCTGCTTTGTTCATGAGTTACCTCTTGAACTCTTATGGTTCACAGGGCATCATTTGAAGTCAGAGCAAACTTGATTATTGATGTACTTTTGATGTGCTGTGCTTTACAGTTGCTGAGGAGATAACCCACAAGCTGTTATGCTGTCTGTATTTGGAGTAGAGAATATCACCCCTTGTACAGAGTCCTCCTTGCTGATGGACATGGGCCCTCAGAACGCTTTCAGCTGAGCTTAGGTGATGTAGGTTTATTTGCCAGTTGCAGTGGAAAATCAATGAGAGAAATTAATGAGGAACATGAAAATCAAACAGAAATATCTGACAGGCAGCATATCTTGACAGTTCTATTGCATGCAATCCCCAGACTAGGTAATGTGTTTTAGAACATGAAAAGCATGTTGTTCCTCGTGAAGTAAGTCTCTTTGTCTTGGCCAAGGAACACTTGTTCTTTGGGTTTATGTGTGTGGTATCTTAAAATGATGCCAGACTATACTGATTTTTGATCATAAAGGAGTTTTTGGTGCTGGCTGAGGATATTTTGCCCCAGTCTTTGCCCTGTTCATGTTCAAACCTGGGATTATTTTTCAGTTTTTCCCCCTCAGGACTAGATTCTCTCTTAAATGCATAATCTTTGTATTCTGAATGCTCCTTTCTGTTTTGAAGCGAGCCCAGTACCAGGACAAGTTGGCAAGACAGCGCTATGATGAGCAGATGCGACAGCAGGTATGACCTTCCTTCTCCAACCCAGCTGGGGATGCAGAGTAGCTTTCTCAAGTCAAAGTGGTGATCAGGAGCTGCCCTAGCATGCTGGCCAGGGAGGAGTGTGGGATTAAGAGTATCAATCTGGGAGATGGAAAGAAGAAGAAAGAAACCTGAGCATTAGTAGCTTCTTGGAAACATTGGTAGTACTTAAGCTTACCCAAATACCTCCTTGACTGAGTTCTTAAACTTTAAAACATCTTTTGCTGTCATCTCTGCCCGCAGCAACTTGCTAATGAAGAGAATCTGAGGAAGCAGGAAGAATCTGTACAGAAGCAGGAAGCCATGAGGCGAGGTAAGGTGGCAGTTTACAGAGCGGATGGGCACATTGCTCAGTGTATTGCTCTTTGACTCCTTGGGTTATGTGTTCACATTGTATTGATGAGTAATGGTAAGGTATCAAGTAGCTGTGTGGCCCAGTGAGGATTTCTTGCAGTGATGCTGAAGATGGAGGTGCTGGCTGTGAAGCTCTCATCTCATATCCTGGGTTGTTCTTAGTTTTCTCATTCATTCTCCATTCACATCAGTCTTTATGTGTCTCTCTCAAATCTGTGTACCTGAAGTTCCAGAGCTTCCAAAATCCTTTTTGGGATGGCGTTTTATAGCAACTCCACTTTGTTTCTCTTCCTCACAAGCGGTGTGTGTTATGTTCTGTGTACTTACTTGCCCAGGGTTGTCCTTCATTGTCTGTAGCATGGCACCCTTCCTCTCTGAAATGATGTTGGTGAGCAGCAGCAGTGCCTAGCACTGAGTTTTCCCCCCCCCTCTCTGTTGCTTTATCCCTTATGGTCTAGCTTGTCTCTGACTAAAGTTTGCCCTGAGCAACCCTTCTGGTCATGAGCTTCCATAACTGAAGCATGGTTATTGTCTTGCAGCGTGCCATCGGGAGCAGGCCACCTATTTGGTGTGTGAGCCCTCTGAGCACAGAGGGGAAAACTCCTTGCCTGGCTTCTGCAACACTGTACCGCCTGGCTGTCTTTTGAGGGAGGGCATTAAGGTCTTGAAGTCTGCTGCTCTGGCTGTTGTGAGGCCAGGGTGAAGCAAGGCTTCTCTTTCACCTGGGATTAAGCCAGCCCAAAAGATTATCCTCTCCTCTCCTTCCTTGGTTTCTACAGCTACCGTAGAGCGAGAGATGGAGCTGCGGCACAAGAACGAGATGCTGCGTGTGGAGGCGGAGGCGAGAGCCCGGGCCAAGGCGGAGCGGGAGAACGCGGACATCATTCGGGAGCAGATCCGCCTCAAGGCTGCTGAGCATCGCCAGACGGTGCTGGAGTCCCTCAAGTATGTGCAGGGCTCGGGGTTGTCTTGCTGCCTGTGCAGATTGCTGCCATCCTATAGAGACCTTGCTCTTTATTCCTGTAAGCTCTGAGGGACAGCAAACGTTAGCTTGGGCGCTCTTGGATGCGGAATGATGGGAATCGTCAAGAACAGGAATACAAGAGAGCACTCTCTTTCACTTGCCTTGCTACACCATCATCTGAGTGTGAACCAACCAGGCCCTTAGTGTTGTAAATGTTACACAGTTTTTGTAACAGATTACTTCAAGCCTTATTTGCTAAGATTGAAACTCAGTGACTCTGAAAACTCGGAGTTCTTTCTGTCTCTGAACATGTGCCATAACGGTATAAAGCAGTTTATATCCAAAGGGGTGGGCGTTTAGGGTTGTATTTGGTTCACATTAGATGCTTTGAGACTTTTAATTTAAAAAGAAGCAGCTTTAGAATTGAATAGCTTTTATTACAGCTCAGCACCAGCGATCTATTAAAGACAGAAACTGATATCTTAATGCCAAGTGATTTTGTGGCTTCAATCCCAGATCAGGTGTAGACATCAGGTGATTATAAACGTATTTGCCATCCTTGTTCATGTTTCAGTTCCCAGGCGAGCCCTCAGTGAGCTTTGACTGGTTCTGAAGAAGATCATTATAAAGTTGTCTTGTAAATTGTTCCAATTCAGTGTTTGAAATCCCTTTCTCTCCTGCTTGCCTTGCTGGTTGCTTACCACAGGACAGCTGGGATGCTCTTTGGGGAAGGATTCCGTGCTTTTGTAACAGACTGGGATAAAGTTACAGCCACGGTAAGATTGTGACCTATGTCTATAGCTTCCAGGAATGCCTGTCTGTAAATGTATGTTAAACTAACTCCCAACCTCTGGGACTTCAGGACATGATCTAAAGCTCCCTTTGCTGCTCATCTCACAACTTTGCATCTGATTTTGATGTAGCTTAGAGAGCATTTAGAGAACTGTTGAATAAGTTGATTAAAAGCTGGACCAACATCTCTTCACAGGACAAAAGAGCATGGCATTGTCTTCTTATGTACATTAAATTGTTTCTTAGTTTACTGCTTCCACCAAAACTTCACAGCGAGAATACATTTTGGTATCCTGGCTTATTAAAATGGACATTTTGCTTTAAGTCAGTCACCAGCATCTGCTCCACCCTCTGCTTTTAGACACACAGACTGATGCAAAAGACACTGCTTGAGTGCCCTGGGGAGAACAAGACGTGCTTTTAGCAGATCCTTTTGTCATCTGTGGGCTGTACCTGGAGTGCCTGCAGCCCTCCGAGCCTTTTGCACAAGCTTGGTGCTTTTACCTGCATATTCTCTTGACCCAGATAACAGTTTCCTGCATTATGGTCATTTTTGCTTCTGACAAGCTCTTGTCTTGTGAATTTGGGACATTCAGCTTAAAAACCAAGTGTATTTTTGGAAAGGAGATAGCACAGCTGGAGCTTATGCTTTCTGTTGCTTTGATAAATGACTGTAAGGTAAGAATTAGCCAACTATTTTAGGGTTCCTCTAAACTAGCCCTGGCTTTTCAGCCATTCCTGCCTGCTGCAGGGGCTGCTCTTTTCCTGCCTCTTTGCCCACAAAGGTTCTGCCTAAAGCTTTTGGGGTTTCTTGGGGATTTTTTTAGTGGAAATCACTTTGCTTAACAGTCAGAAATTCATTCCTTTGCCAGACACTTCATGATAACCAGATAGGCACTGTTAGCAGGCTGAATTTTGGAGCTGGCATAGTAAATGGGTGGGTCTGAGTGTGAAAGTCAAGTAGTTTTCCTCTTTTGGTACAGTCTTAAACCTGTGTCTTGTAACATGAATGTCAGTGAAGTCCAAAAGGCTGAAATACTTATCTGTGCCTGGATGGATCTGGTGGATCAACCTGTGACTGCTTAGTACTGGATGCTGCTAAAGCAGACTGTGTAAGAGGGCATGGGATCATTGTCATGGTACCTTGTTCTTAGAGGGAGGCTGCTAAAGAGGTGGAGTCTCTTTTGTGTTCTAAAGTGTGTGTAAACTGAGATGAATCAGGTGGTCTTATTCTTTGCATCTTGGAGCTCACAGTTCTGAACTGCTCATGTTTCCACCCAAAACAGAGGTCATGTCACACATTTAAGCAGAGTGAAACTGAACAGATGGTGTCTCATGGCTTATTGAACAACACCATCCTTGTTGTCCTTGAGGCTTTTGACCTTGATCTGCACTTGTAAAAGTCTGCTTACTTTAAAAGCCACTGCTGGAGCTTGCTCTTCTGTCTCTTTTGTTCATAACACTGGAAGCTAAAGCTTCAGCATGATGGGAGATAGTGTTTTCTCATACATTTATACCTTCAGCTTGTAGCAAAACCTGATGGTTATTTAGATACCATATATATATATACTCAGTTAAATGTCTTCAAAGCCACACACATTTGATTAGGGAGTCCATACTCCTGGACACATGACTCTATGCACTGTCGTGCTTCCTCTGCCTTTCACGCTGCAAGAGCACTAAATGCTTTATGAATAGGGCCTGTGAGACCTTGACTGTCTGAACAGGGATAAAACACCTCATCAGAACTGAACCCCGACTGGTCAGCATCTGTCCTGAATCTTAATTCCCTACCACAGGCCATGCTACACACAACTGAGCTTCCTTCTTTCCCCCTTTCTCTGCAGGTGGCTGGCCTAACCCTGCTGGCAGTGGGGGTTTACTCTGCCAAGAATGCCACAGCAGTAGCAGGGCGCTACATAGAAGCACGGTTGGGCAAACCCTCCCTGGTGAGAGAAACCTCACGCATCACTGTGCTAGAGGCACTGAAGCATCCCCTCACGGTAAGGTTTAGGTTTGGCTTTGTGTTGCACTCAGCTGTGAGGACGCGCAGCTCCTTCCGCAGCTCTTTGTGTCAGGCAGGGAGCTGTTGGTGGGTCTGTGAATAAATGTGCTATTAGAGCCTAGGTGGGCTGAGCTCGTTGTCCTTTCATATGACCTTCATGTCCAGGTGAGTTGTCAAATCTGTGGTTGATTCCTGTATGTCAGTAATTGAATTTGGCCTCTCTAGGTGGGGAAACGTCTTACCAGCAAGGCTCAGGATGCCCTTGAAGGAGTTGTTCTCAGTGTGAGTACTCTGTTTTGCTGTCTTGCTCTGGGAAGGATGTCTTCAGAATCCAAATAAGAACAGCTGTTTCCTCACTCTCGGTTCAAAAGCTGTAATTCCAGTAATTCTGGAGTCATAGAACCCCTGGGGCACTGAGACTATAAATAAACTCCTGTGTTCAGTGTGACATGCATTAAGCACGCTGTTAACCTTTTATCCTCTGCAAAAAGCAGCTGGAAGCCTTAGTTCAGTCATTGCTGTGCTGCAGTTTTTCTCCATAGTCAGCATGTTAATGTAAAGAATTCCTCTTGTCTCATATGATCTAGGATTACTGAACCTAGATCTGCTTGTAAGCCAAAAAGCCAAGAAGCAGATGCATTTGCCCATCTTGTGAATGGTTCTTCACTTGCTAATGAGGGCTGCTTCTGAATTGGATTCCTGGATATCCTGGCTATAAGTGCTGCTTGAAGCTGCTGAGAGAAGATGCTTCTGCAGGAATAGATTTCTCCACTATCTTTACAAATGCAGTAATAAGTGTGAACATGTTTGTGACTTAAGAAAGAATTAGTACTGCAAATGGTTACTTACGTTTTGACATATCCCTCCTAGGGCATCCAATAGGAAGTGAATATTTAGGTGTTACCATTTCTGATAGTAGCTACTGCACTGCTTCCTGCACTGCTGCTGCTTCTTATGAAGGAATTGTAGCCAAGTGGACAGAACTTTGAGTAAATCCTGACCCAGAACAGGAAATGGCCCTGATCTGAAGTAATAAGCAGCTGAAGTTAAGGCTTAAAGCTTGAGAGTGTGGAATTGCTGCCTGCTTCTCACTGGTACTGATCTGTGAAGCTGATAGATGCACATCTCTGGGTACTTTGTTAAGTTTAACTCTTTTCTTGCAGCCACAGTTAGAAGCACGTGTGAGAGACATTGCCATAGCAACAAGAAATACAAAAAAGAACAAAAGCCTATACAGGAATATTCTTATGTATGGTCCTCCTGGCACTGGGAAGACGCTCTTTGCCAAGGTAAAACCCTGCCAAGGTTCTGACAACCTGCATGTTGCAGGGGGTTCTGAAAACATCATGGTCTAAGCACCCCATCTAGTCTGAAGTCTGTTGCTGTAGTATTGCATAAACACTGTGTTCCTGTGTCTGTTGGGAAAGGAGGAAAGGGCATCAGCTCTAACTTAGTGCAGTCTCTTGCATTCTAGTGCTGAGCGTGGGCAGAAGAGCCCTTCCATCTGGAAAACCCATTTGGCAACTGCCACTTGTGAAATCCCAGCACCAGCCTGCAGTCTCATTCCCACCTCTGTTAATTTTGTGCTCTTGTCTAAACAAAGCTTAAAACACAAAGGGAAAAGTCTGATTTTTGTCTGAATGCTCACTGGTTCACTGACCACTCCATGCTTCTAACTTCTTTTTAAGCAAATAACATTGTGAGTTGTGTTAGTGAAGTGTCTTGTGGAGGATAGCATCCTGTTATACACTAGACCATGAGGCAAACAGTGGAAAGAATGAACAATACACAAGTTAAAGATGGAGGTTTAAGCACTGCTGAGAGCATTGAGATTTCATGCATTTACACAAGTCTAAACTTCCATCTTTCATTCCCATTCAGAGCGATGCTAAATCATCCACTTCTGAGCCTTTAGGTGACTAAGTTAGCGTTCCTTAAGAGCATACTTACCCACTGCAAGGAAACGTGCTGATAGGAGGAATCTATTTGTATTTCTAGCCTCATCTTGGAGTGCTCAATTCCCTGGTTTTGTTTCTTCCCAGAAATTAGCCGTGCACTCGGGCATGGATTATGCCATCATGACGGGTGGCGATGTTGCCCCCATGGGGCGGGAAGGAGTCACTGCCATGCATAAACTCTTCGACTGGGCAAACACCAGTAGGCGAGGGTAAGTAGAGGTTCCTCTGAACCCTGAATGTGGTTTCTTGCTCAGAGAAACTCACTGCAGTGATGTCTTTCAGGCGCCTAATCTCTGTTACTGTATGATACGCCTGCACAGATGAGGTGTATCATACAATGCGAACCAGGCATCATACCTCCTAGTTTTCCTAGAGTGAGTAAGTCCTTGCTGCTTAGTAATGTTTAAAAGACTGAAAGGTTTTCAGTCATAGCTTCATTCTGCTGTTCTCAGGAGGCATGTGCAGATATTGCCCTTTTAAAGGCTGGGACCCATTGCTTTCGTGGTGATTAGTTTTCTGACTGCAGTTAGAAGACTTGGCATGAAGGGAGGTGCAACCAAGTGTTTATGCTCTCTGTGTATTATGTTCCCTGTTGCAATTGCTCAGACTTTGGGCTCTGATAGTGTTTGGATCTTGCTTTTGGTTTACTTTTGAGTCTTAAGCAGAAGTAGTGAATTATAAGAAGTAAGGAGGTAAGGGGGAGGCAGATCCTAAAGGTATTAGGTAGGTGTAAAAGTCACAAGCTGCTGTGCGTTTTCAGTCACCTTTTAAAGCAAACTTTCATCTGCAGAAAAGCATTCATGTTGAGGCTAATCTTGACTCCTTTGTTTTCTAAGAGTACATAGTTAATCTGTTCACACTAGTGAAAATGGGTTTTTGCAGTGCAGACGTACCCAAGGAGTTGCTTGTCCAGCCACGATATTACAATGCAATAGAGAACTTGCAGTGGGTGTCACTTTAGGGTTTTGTGCTGTTTTCATCCCAGGTTTTCTCTAAATGTGGCTAATGGGTGATTTATGTGTTCTCTGATTGCTTTAGATGGACATATCATTCAGTGTCTGTTTTAATCTTCGCTGCATTCATCATCAAAGTGTTTCTATCTCACCTTTAAAGTCCCCAGAAATATGCAGAGTAAATGCCCTAAGGGTTTAAACTCTTTAAGGTGTTCCAGCCCTGAGGAGCTGTAGAAGGAAAGGGTAAGAACTTTAGGTGAGCTCAGAAAAAGAAGTAGGAATTGATAGGAGGATACTCAACTGCATGTTTCCACTCAAGAATTCTCTTTCACAATGCTGTCTGGGTCTGAATTTATTCTCTGTCCTGATATTCTCTGCATTTGGATTTCATACACTTGGAACAGCCATCTCATGAAAGTCATGATCAAAGATTACCTGTGTCCATATACATCAGTGTTCTAACTTCCAGTAACATTGGAGTATTAAGGCAGGTTTTATCCTGGATATCCAGCAGTGTTAGCTGTTAGTACTGTGTTGGCTTGATTAGCTGAAAGCCCTCGTGATAGAAGACACTTCTCTGCACAGACTGCAGCCGATCATATTATCAGACAAGCTAGAGTTGAGCAAAAGATGTTAATAGTCCCTGAAATGCCTTGACAGAAAGCTGGTTTTGAAGCTAGGCAAGAAGGTAATACGAATTGTGACAGCTTTATGAGCAGCTTGGTTCTGTTATTGATAAACATCTTCCTCTGCTTTGTCTCTTGGGAAAAGCACAACCCCTGGGTTAGAAGCGAATTTATTTGTGTGAATTATTCATTGACTTTATTAATTCACTTCTCCACAGTAGTAAACCCATCACCTTATTGCTGGTGTGGTTTGGAAAGGAAAAGCCCCACCAAATCACAGGGGAGGACTCTGGTTTGAGGCTTTCAGGATGGTACAGGGAAGAATGATGGCAGGAAGATGCTGTTGTCACCGAGATTTCTTGTCCGCTTGTGGTCTTGTTGCCCTTGCACACATCTCTATAAATAGGAGGGAATGCTAAAATAAGCCCTCACAAATTCTTGGGGAGCAGATGTGTATTTCCAAGATCCACTCCAAGTTGGCAGCAGCATGCCAGCACTGTTAGGCATGAGCCCGTTGCCAGACCATGCCTATGAACAGTCCCATCTATATTTAAAACCCTGAAGGAGGTTAAGGTTGTTTGCCCTGGAATTGCTTCTGTTCAGCCTGCTGCTGAACAGCAGGAAACAAAACTCCAGAGGCCTGGAGTCAGTTTTATGGCCAGAGGTGTCTTCAGCTAATACTTCTCTCTTAACTGTTGGGATGGGCTAAGTGCATGCTATGGGAAAACTGCTGTAGCTTAGCTGACAGATGCTGCCTTTAGGAAATGAATTTGCTTGTGTGATCCTTTGGGCTGACATCTGGTCACAGCTCTGGGTGCCTGCTAGTGGTACAAGAGAATTCTTGAGCCATTTGAGCCTCGCTTACCTGTCTCCTATTACTGTGTAGTGCTTTTCTTTTGCAGCCTCTTGCTGTTTGTGGATGAAGCAGATGCATTTCTGCGGAAGAGGGCAACAGTAAGTGCTTTGGCTGTTAGCTGTCCATGCTGCAGAGTTAGTCAGCCAACAGCCTTTGCTTAACATGATCAGCTAGCTTCAAGAAGCATAAGATTAAAACTGGCAGGTGCCTTACTACTCATCCAATGAAGTGATGCAGAGACAAGACATTAGCATCTTTCAGCTGAATGGAATGAGCATCTCAAGACTGACTTGAGAATTCCTCCCTGCAAAGGATGGGTGACATAATCTTTTTGGAGGTTTGCAGGTGGCTGGGCAGTAGGAAAGAGGCAATTCTGGACAACAAGAGGTGGTTGTTCACTCTGCGGAGCTGGTACCCTGCAGGGCTCATGTACCTGGGGAGGTTTTCAGAGCAGAACTGTTTTTCACTACATTAACAAAGCTACAGTAGCATCTTCCCCTATACGAGTGATTTATGTTTTCAAAGTCAGTCACTATATTGTACATTAAATCTGGACCTGCTGTTTGAACCCCAATGGTCTGTTTGAAGAGCTGTCCCTAGAAGGTTACTTTGAATGTGTAAGTGAATTCTTTGCTGTGGCTTATCTTCCTGTAAGTATCTTACTGGACTTCCCAGCCAAAATAGTGTTTAGCAGGGAAAGGCACCTGGGCCAATGGTTAGAGCCTGGGGTTTGGAATCAAGAGAATCACTGTGGGTAAATATTTAATGTCTCTGCTGGGAGCTTTAATTCATAACCTTTCTCCTGGGTGTATAAACTGATCCTTTTTCCCCATGGTATTACAGTGCTTTTGGGTTCTGCTGGAATGCAAATGCTTGACAGTATTGACAAAGCTTAAAGCTGTGACCTGTCTTAGGTCCCCAAGCAGTTGATTTTCCTTGGGATTTCATCTTTGCAGGAGAAAATCAGTGAAGATCTCAGAGCAACTTTAAATGCATTCCTGCACAGAACAGGGCAGCACAGCAACAAGTAAGTATCCCCTGTCAGCCCTTACAGTGGTTGATGTTTCTCTGAATTGAGGGAAGTCTGTAAAGGGTCTATGGTATGCAAATAACAGTTGGAAACATGATCTGTGCTACTAAGGACTTGAAAAGCTCTTCATAGAGTATCCCTTTTCAGTAGAACAAAGGGGAACAGTGTTGGGCCCACGAAAATCAATGTCACAAAAGCAATGCAGGGTTGATGCTCCACGTTTCGCGTTGTCTTCCAAAATGCTTCAGCTGGTGCTTGTTTGAGCTGCTGTTCCTGTCCATGTTGTGCATGCTGAGGAGGGGGTTGAGACCTTGAGATGAGCGAGTTTAAATCTGGTTCCATTTCTTTTGCCTGAGCTGTCTGCTCGGAATGTCTGTGTGCAGCGTTGCACATAAATGTAGGAATCCCAGAGCTGGCTCCCTCATGGCTGTTAATAGATTTGCTAAGCACAGATGACTGCAGGGCTGGCTTGACAGATGTATACATGTGTGGAGACTTGTTGAAACCACTGCAGCTATAACTGATAGTTGCTCGTGTGTAGCTTCTCTGTGTCACACTGAGATGCCTTGGAAGATCTGCCTATCCAAAATGAGTATAGATTGCTAGGAAGCACATTGTTGAGCCTGCAATGACCTTGGAAGATCCTTGGTTTTCCCTTTGGGAGAAGAGCAAAGCTCTTCTGGAATGAGATCTGGAATTGCTCTGTAAATGCTGAGTTGAGTATAATTATTAACCAACATTGTACTTGCTGTCTGCAAGAATAAGTATAATAAATACATACTGGCAAAATACATTGTGCAGGACCCAGGACAAGTGGTGCTTAAGATAGAAATCCACTTTTCCAAGGTGATAACTGGATATCCTGAGCTCCTCAGACTTTTACCCTGTACCTGCAAAAGGTGATAAAGATGCCAAGATGGAGCTGCAGCCCTTTTAAGAGCAACATGTGTGTTTTAGCTTTAGATAGTTGCCTTTTCCTAGGAAATAGCCTATTTCACACTTGTGATGTCTGGTTGCTGTGGATCTAGTGATGGGTTTGACCCAGTTTATAATCATGCTGCAGGGCAGTGACTGGCAGGGGGTGGTGAGGGGGACAGTTCTTTGCCCTCATGTTAAACTGCTTTAGCAGAGCTCTGGGCATGCTTGCTTGGTGCTGGTGGGTGCGATGCCTTTGCTCAAACAGTTGGGCTCTCATTTTGTCAGATGTTGAATTCAAGTCTAATTTCAGCTGTGAGCCATCCTAGGAGGCTGAAGATGTCCCTGTGAGTCATGCACTGCTGTTTAACTTCTGAACAGCCTTATTGCTGCTTTGGGCAGTAAGGATTCCTATATCCATGAATGGGAGCTCATTTGAAGAAGTCTAATCATGCATGTAAATCTAGCTGGTTTGGCGAGACCCTGAGGAGCAGTTACTTTACCAGGGAATTGTCAAGTGTTGTGAACTGCTGGCTTCAGCTTCCCAAAGAACTTTCTGCATCTTGCTGGATTGATTGCTGACTGTCTCATGTTCATGATGGCCATGTTCAAGGCCTGAATGCCAGGTTGTGTGTCCATCCTTGATCCAAGCTCTGTTTCTGCAGGAGCCTGGGGGAAGCCCTTGTTGGTAGAAAAGGATTAGTTTCATGCCTGGGTGGCTCTTGGGTTGGCAAAGTTCTCTTCAGAAACGACAGCAAAGAACACAGCCCCCTGAAGACTGGGATTTAAATAGGCTGTAAGAATGTCAATATTCCAATAGCTGTGGTTAAAAGCCCATTTCAAATTCTGATGCACTGTTAAGCTGGTAACATCAATTAAAGCATTAAAGTAGGATGGCTTGGGAAGAAGCATCACTAAACAGCAAAAGAAAGGGTTTCTGGCTTCAGAATGCAGCAGGAGAGAGCAGGACCTGGAAGCTGGCCTATCTGTACCGTGGAGCAAAGCTTGGTAAAACAAACCACCTTTGTTTCAGGGTACCCACTGTGAATGCCTCTTTCTGCACACATTAGGTAGCAGAATGTGGTTTCAGTCTGGCTTGAAGGAAACAGGTCAAATTCACCAGCTGCCATGCACAGACCCAGCTGTGGTACATTCCCCTTGTTCTTAGACCAGGATGAGTCCCTTCAGTGCTCCGCAGCTCGTTTTGCTGGCTGAGGCTTCACTAGTGCTGTTGGCTCTGTTTGGCAGCTGTTCATACCTTCAGAGCAGGACTACGACAGCCCCTCATGATTCCAGGGTGCTGTGCAGTTAGCAGCTTGATGTCAGTTCCCCAAACTGGGATCTAAACTGGAGTTACAGATGTGCCAGAGAGCATTCATATTGTCCTGCCTTGTTCCAAGGTTTCAGATGTATCTGGGATGGACTCTTGGTACATGTTTGTGATAGTCCTAACTTGAGGGAGATAATGGGTAAAGTGGTAAATCAGGCTCCTGTGACAGACTGGGGAAGGATAATGGAAAGCTAGGTACCGAGTTAAACTTACTTCAGTTCTAAACAGCTTAAACAGCACTGCATGTAGCTTGCGATGCAGTTACAAAGCTGTTTCTAAGGAGTCTTTGGGGGATGAAATGGCCATGGCAGCTCCCGGTGTTCAGACTCGTTCATGCATTTTATTTTTATGGGGTTTCAGTCTTTCCCTCGTTTCTTGCTTCCAGGTTTATGCTTGTTTTAGCAAGCAACCAGCCTGAGCAGTTTGACTGGGCCATCAACGACCGGATAGATGAGATGGTGAACTTCGATCTGCCCCAGTTAGAAGAGCGGGAGCGGCTTGTGAGGATGTATTTTGATCAGCATGTCTTGAAGCCAGCCACAGAGGGCAAACAGTGAGTATACCCCTGCACAGCTCTCCCCCCACACAGGCTTCTCTTTCTTTTATGGTTTTTCTTCATCTCCTTTTCTGTGTACTCTGCCACATCATCTATAAACCCACGTGAAACAAACAGCACAGATGAGAGTTGGAGAGATGCCTCTGGCTATCCTGTAACAGGATGTGATGCCATCCTTGAATTGCATGCCATGCTTTATTATGCCCCTAAAATTTAGGAGACCAGTTACTGTACTGGAGGCAATGATGCAAGTAGGAACACTTGGAACTCCACATATCCAAGCACTTGTCCTTGCTTGGCTTACCAGAGACAAATCAGACAGTGACTCATTTCCTTCTTGCTGTGCAGTGTTGTACTTTTCAGTCTTAACCCAGGTATGCACATTTCTTTGTGCCCCTGAGTTGGGCTTTCTGGGCCCAGGAGAACAACTCTGCTCAGACTGGATCTTTCTGCAGAGATTGATCCAATGTGATCTCTGATTTCACTGTAAGTGTTGGTCTTTACAAAGCCTACTTCTGACTCCCTCAGCCTCCTGTCCTGTCATGTAAACCAGTCCTTGTTCTGCTTTCTAGACGTTTGAAGCTGGCCCAGTTTGACTATGGGAAGAAGTGCTCAGAGATTGCCAGGTTGACAGAGGGCATGTCTGGCCGGGAGATCTCTCAGCTTGCTGTGGCATGGCAGGTAAGCAGGGCTTTTATCACAGGGCCTCTTGGTTCTTATTCCCTTCCTCAAAGGTTTGAGTGATCTTGTCTCACTTTGGAAGTTTCATTATGTCCATAGTGTGGTGCTAGGATGCTGCTTGCTCTGAGGTGGGGGTCAGAATATCAGCATAATTCCTCATCTCATAAATAGGAGCAGTTTTGATCAGCACTAATGGGAAAGCCCTTATGGAATTTAAGTAGAGCAAGTGAGTTAGGAATGGGTTTGGGCAAATCGTGCTGGCCGTTACTCATGTTCCAGCCCAAGAAGCTCAGTAGAAGAGGTGCCTGATGTGGTTGCCCATAGGGAATGTCAGCATTAGGATACTAGAACATCTTTATCTCACTGCCTTTCAACTGTAGCAAGACTTGTTAACAATGGCTTTTGGTTTTGCCTATGTAAAGCATTAAGGGAACGGCACTTCAGTAGGTGTGGTTAAGAGCCTCTCTCTAAGCACATATGTTTTAAGTACTCTTAACCCAGGTTGATCTCTTTAAGTACTCATCACCCAGGCTGGTGTTTTGTGTCTGGGTCAGCACTAACAGCTTGTTATGAGTAGCTTTGTAGCTGATGCAGTGATCCTTCTGATCAGGGGAGGATTAATGCTGCAGTTTGACAAGCATTTCTGCCAGCGTCAGTCCTGCCTCGTATTCCTGCCTTGCTGCTATGCTTTCATTGCACTGGTACACCTCTTTGTATGGCTGGAGTATGAACTGGGTCAGGGGGCTGATCAGAGTTAAAAATAGCTTGGCAAGACACATTCACTGCAGAGCTGCACTGCTGGGCTGGCACATCGCAGGGGTGGATCAGGGGAGGTAGGGGCTGTATGAACCAGCATAACTGGCACAAGAAAATGCTTAGCAGCCTTCCCTCAGCTGGGTGCAACAGCTCTAAGTGGTTACATCCTGCAGATAGGACTGTTAACTCTTGAGTTCTTGGTCTTTTAAACTCCTTTTAAACTTTTGATTCAAGATGCTGCCTGCCAAAGGTGGCTGATGTGGGCAATAACCGGATGTGAGCAGCACCTTTATGAGGGCACACTTGCATTGTAATCACTTTGTAAGCTACAGTTTGGTCCACCTTGTGTGCAGAGCTATAAGGAAGCTACAACAGGGCTTAACCTGAGGATTTAGAGAGCCTCTTCTGTGACTCTAGTTAAGGTGAACATCAGGACTTCCTACTCAGTTCCCTGCTTGCAGTTTCTTTTTCCCCCTCCCCTCTCCACCCAAAGCATTGTCTTAAGTTAACAACACAGGAAGAGTTAGAGATGATGTGTAAGATGAGGAGATGAAGGGCAGGAAAAAACATGGTATCTCTTTAACAGTCTGTTTCTAATCTTAGTAGCCCCTTGCAGAGCTGGTAAACAGCAGATGTTGTGAGCCCAGTGTGCTTTAGAAGTTCTCAAAGCAGACTTGAAACACCTATATTCAAGCTTCCAGCACTGTTCTAGGTAGGCTTATCACAACAGCTGCTGCAGTGCAATGTGCCTGAGGTCTCTGCTTAATACATGAATTCAACTGACCCATTCTGGGGAAGATCACAGCACAAAGGCCTGATGAAAACCACAGGGTGGGAATGCTGGAGCATTCACAGTTTGTGCAGTGCCCTGGCATGACTTGGAGCTCATCCTCCAAGTGTAGGCTTAATTGCAACATGCCTGTCACTTAACTCCCCTCAGCTTTGAATGCGTGCTTGCTTAATTATTCTTCCAACAGCCATTTGCAGTGCTGCTGTCTGTGTGTGTTGTACCTCTGTAGACCAACACTTCAGCCAGTGTCAGGAACATTGTGTCACAGCCACAAATGCAGAGGGGCAGGCTTCATCTGTGGTGTCTGTCCTACTGCCTCAAGCTGACTGAGCCTTGTTGCTTGCAGTTTTAGCCCTAAACCTCTGTGAGATGAAAGCTAATCAAACCACCCGTGAAGCACAGGTAGTAGTGGGGAAGGTGGTGGGGAATCTGCATTGCTACTCCTGCTTCCATTCCTGAATCTGTGGGATTGCTGCAGGGAACAGACAGGGAGCTCAGGAAGGTGTTCATCATGGGCTTGATGGAGACTTTTGGTGCTAGGATCCTCATCAGCTCTCGCTCAGCCTCCTTGGGGTCATCTCTTACAGCCCGAGCTGAACCTCAGAGGTGGTGTGGGGAAAAGCAAAGCGCAGGAGGAGAAGCCACCACAGCTCTTGGCTCTTACCAGAGTAACCTGGAATGGCAGCATATGGCCCCTCTGCTGTCCCATGGCCTCACATCCTTTACCATGAAGGTGTTTGAGTGCTCTGCCAATATTGCTCTTAACAAAAACATCTCGGTTCAAGTAGAAGCCTGAGCGATAGCTGCAGCTTTCAGAGGCTTAATTCCACTCTGAGCTGGGTTTGTAATCAATGGCTTGTCATTACCATGAAGTTCAGTTCATGTTGTTTCAGTCTGGCTCAGTTTGCCCTGGATTTACCAACCAGAAAACAGAAGGAGCAGGAAAGCAGAGGGTGTAACCTCCAGTGCTGGGAAGAACATCACTGCCTGGCAGAGCTCAGAGTCTGTGTGCTGGAAATCCATTTTAATCCCTTCTGTGGAAGACCGAGCATTCCCTTTTGTCCTTGTGCTTTTCCGTTCCCCATATCTAATCCTTTATGAATACAGCATGGATTAGATGTGTTTACACACTTAAACATTCCCTTCAGATCTGTTCATAGTCATGTGCAGACTTCCTAGTTCTGCACCTTGTCCTTAAACCCATTGATATGCTTTAGATAAAACACCAGCAAAGCAACTTTTCCCTGTTCCAAGCTATAATCTCTGGAAAACTGTTTTGGCAACACTTAAAGAGAATTCCCAGGAGTTTTATGGCCCAGTGTTAATGACAGAGGTGAGTTTCCTGCCAGGCTTTGCCTCTTGTGCCCCTGACTTGGATGCCTTTTTGCTCCCTGAACCTTGCTTATACTTATACCAGTTCACCTGCCTGAGCAAGCTATGGGAAGAATTTAATGTTCCTGCAGTGGGCTGAGCTGAAGGGCAGCATGAATAAGTGAGGGGTTGGAGCAGGCTGGTTTCATTATAAATGGGGTTCAAACCATGCAGCTTAGTTTGGCCAAGTTAAACCAAACCATGGCTTCTGGCTGAAATGACTGAACATCTCATCTCTGCTCCGACCCTCTGTTCTCCCTTTGCTTTCAGCTTATTCCATCATTGGGTTCAGTTATAAGCCATGAAGAGTTGCACTGGAGAAGATGGGTTAAAATGTGGCCGTGCAGAAGGTGTAGGTCTGAATACAAATGAAGCTCAGAACCATTTCTGTGTGTGTGCAGCTACTCCCAGAAGGGGCAGCTGCTTCTCCCATTTGCTTTCTTGACAGCGAGGGCCTAAGGCTTTCTATAAATAGAAAGTCATTGAGAAAATCAACAGAGCGTGAACTGCACAGCTTTGCAGGAGTTTCCACAGTGGAATTTATGGGCTGTGCAGTGGCAGGAGGAAGGGAAGATATCCTCTCTGTTCCATGGAGCCACATCACACATCCCAGGAAAGCGCTCGCTCCATTATGAACCACCAAATCCTGCTGGCTGGAGGGATGCACTGACAACAGGGGGCTGGATGCCTTTAGTTTGAAGTGCCCACTCATGCCCTGAAGAAGAAATAACCCACAAAGGGGGCTGGGTGGGTTATGGTGGTCGCTCAGAGAGGATGCTTCAGCTGAACAGGACCTTTCCACCCCACCACTTGTGCTGTGGTGAGGGCAGGCAGGTCGTGTGGTGATGAATGCTGGTGGCAGGCAGGTGATGGAAAGAGTGTTCTGCTGCTCGTGGGGCTAACTGCCTCATTGCATTCAGGATGCCTCCTGCTCTGCTGCTGCCTACAGAGGACAAGTGCCTTTATGCAAAGTGAATTCTCTATTTGCAGACCTATTTCTCTGCTCCCCTTGCCTGCAGCCAATGTTTGCTCTGAACTTGAAGTATGAGCATTAGCTTAACTTGTCACTTCTGCCTTAAGGAAGGATTAGAAAGGGAAGGATCTGGGCAGAGGATGTGATGCTGCTTGCAGTAAGAACCAGTGCTTGCCAGCTCTGTGGATCCGTGTGGCTTTTGCAGTGAGACCTCTTGTGATTTAACCAAGCAGGGGCTGGAAAGGAGGCTGGAAACCAAGCAGGGTAACCCTTTACTGCTTTCTTGACATGATTATGCCTCCTGCAGTGAGGCAGCACTGATCTAACAGGCAGATATAACCCACTGTGCTGGGCTAGTCAGTACTGTGATGCTGCAGATCAGTGCAAGAGCTTACCCTGGGGCTTGTCTTCCATCTGCATCAGTCGGTGCATGAAATGGTCACACTGTAGTTTCCTTCTGTGGTGCTGTTGCAGGAAACCTCATTGCTTGGTGTAATTGATGCTTTGCACCATTAATGATTTATGGAACCCTTAGAAGCACGCTTCAGCCTGTCATGAAAGCCACAGTTCATATTCCCAAGTGGGATTTGGGGAATGCCCTGCAGACAGGAGGGTCGGCCTGTGACAGTCTGTGATTTAGGTGGGCTCTTAGGCAGAAGCTCTTCCCTGTGAGGGTGCTGAGGCCCTGGCACAGGGTGCCCAGAGAAGCTGTGACTGCCCCATCCCTGGCAGTGTTCAAGGCCAGGTTGGACACAGGGGCTTGGAGCAAGCTGCTCCAGTGGAAGGGGTCCCTGCCCATGGCGAACTGGATGAGCTTTAAGGTCCCTTCCAACCCAAACCAGTCTGGGATGTGATGGAGCTGTGGACAGAAGTGTGAGGCTGCTTGGTGCAGGCAGCATGAGTGGGAGAAGCTGGAGGGGATCCCACCCTGCTGAGCATCAAGCTCCCTCCTTAGCGTAGCTGCAGAGGGAACCACAGGACTGAGCTGCTCAGGAGCCCTTGCACAGGGAGGAACCAGATTTAGCAGTCTGTAGCTTGGAGTTGCTGTGTTACCTTGGAGATGGGCACAGCTCACAGCGTAAGCATCCTCCCCTTGCCTGGAGGGTACTGCTGCTTGTGTTGCCATCTGCAGAATGGCCACGGGCTGAGCCCTGCCTCTCCTGGGGGTCTGGACAATGGTGACAACCCTTGTGCTGCAGCTCAAGAGCAATGGCACCAGGCCTGTTTCCCCTGAGCTGCCCCTGGCAGTGCTGTGGCTGCTTGGCAAGGATGGAGGGAGCTCTCAGCCCTTTCTGCAAGGGGCTGTGATGAATTTGTGCTGCCTCTCAACCCAGTGTTGATTTGGCAACAGCGTTGGAGAGACAGGAGCTGGGGTATGAATGGGGCAGGGAGGAAAGGGAAGGTCCCGTAGGTAGGTAAATGTGGGGTGGGAGCTGACACAGCACAGAAGTGCTGCAGGGTTGATTCCTAACGGAATGAGCCAGGAAATCAAGGTGAGTGCGCCTGAGACCTCACTTTAGAGGGGCTGCATTGCCCATGCTCACCCTGGCACTGAAGTTACCTCTCCTGTGTAAGTGTTTAAGCATTTTCCATTGTCCTGGATGGAGTCACTCACTCACCACATGCACCTATTGCTCTTTACCTTCTTGGCTTCATACGTGCAGTGCTTTTAAAGCAGGAGAGGAAATTGAAGCAAGCCAAGTGTGGCTGCAGCCTACCCATGCTGGCAACGTTCAGCAGCGTGAACCTGTGGCCTTGTCTCTTCCAAATGCAAAGATCTTGTCTCCCAGGAGCTCCAGAGGCAGGGAAAGGTGCTTGTTAGCAGCTCAGAGACAGACTTGAGTGCATCAAGGAACACCTTTCCCATGATGTGCCAGATACTCTGGCTACCAGCACTGACTTGGAACAAGACTGGATGTTGTGCTGGGTCGTGTGGGGACAAACATGCATGGAGAAGACAAGAGAGGGGCCAGTGTCAGCTCTTCACTGATCCTAGGGACTGGTCCCATCACTAACCTGTGTGTCTCTGCCTTTGCCTCTGCAGGCTGCAGCTTATGCATCAGAGGATGGGGTTCTTACAGAGGCCATGATCGATGCCCGGGTAGCTGATGCTGTGCAGCAGCACAAACAGAAGATGGAGTGGCTGAAAACAGAGGGTGCTGAAGCAAGCAAAGGGCCTGGCAGAAACCCCCTCCTGCCTTTCCCTAAGGGGACACCCGTGTGAGAAGGCTGCAGGCTTCAGACCAGCACATGAGGGGCTGTGGCCATGGGGGGAACCCGGGAGGGGCTTTGGGGCAAGGGTTTGGTGGAATCATTGGTGAGAGAAATGTGTCCCTTGGGGCAAGGGGGGCACTGCCTTGGTCTGCCTCTGATTCGTGGCTTTAAAGGGCACCAGAAACCAAAAGGGTTTCAATGAGCAGAAGGAAGTGAATTAAAGGACCCCCTTGCTGAAATGCTGGTGCCTGTGTTAGTCTGTGGGGCCTGTCCTGTTAAAGAGGCCAGAACTCCACCTCCTCTTCAGCCATCTGACACTGAAGTGTCCCAGTGCCATGGGCCTGTGGGAACCAAGGCTGGGTCCAAGCCTTGCATTCCCATATATTGAGCTTTGCAGGGTTTAGGCTCCAGCAGAGCCCTTTCTCCCTGCCCATAGCCACCTCCTTGCTCACATCTCTGTACAGCATCACTTCCTGCTTCTGTTGGTGTTGCCCCTTCCCAGACTCAGGACCCACTTTGTGTTATGGAGGTGTCAGCTCCACCTGGGTCACTTGGACTCAAGCACTTGGGAGCTGTGCAGGGGCTTGGCTGATTCACACCAGGGCTTCCCTTGCGCTGGGGCTGCTCCTGCTGGGGCCTGGCTGCTGCCTTTTGCCTTCTGTGAGCTTGGGTCTCCTTGGGGCTGGGACCTGGCTCTTCCCAGTGCTCGGGATGCTGCGTAGCCCTGCAGCCACTGCTGAGCTGCAGTGGGAACCGCTGCTCCCCAGGCTGCAATGGGTCTGTTCTGCCTGCACAGCCGCTGGGTTTTGGTTGCTTGGTGCTTGCTGCCGCAGCCAGGGAGCAGCCCTGGGTGGTTTATTCCCTCCATAAATGATGGAAGGAGGGGGGTAGGCACTGCTCAGCGAGCCTCTGGCATCCCCATGTCTGGCATCAACCCCCCTGTGCAAGCACATTTGCCTGACCCCAGTCCATGCCCTTGAGCACCCTGTGGAGATGCTCTCTGACAGCAGCCTCTGCTCCGGCTCCTCCACTGGTGGCTGCTCCAGAGCCTTGGGGACACCAGGGATGCAAGAACCCCTGAGGCTGCCCGTAGTCACTGTCCTGGGCCACCACGCCTCCAGGTCGATCTGTGATGTGCTCCCGGGCTGCCTTGAAGCTGCCCCTGTATTAAAGGGGGCATCCCCCAGCCTGGGTGTGCTCACGTTATGTCCTGAATGGCTGAAATAAGCCTCGATGCCTTTTTATTCTCTTCCCCTTCAGCCTAAGTGGAGTTGTCCTTTGGTCCACGGATGTGCTAGAGGATTCTAGGCTTCCCCTTTGCTATTGGGATCGTACTGGAATTACGTTGCTATTAAGCCCCAAGAGATGAAGGGAGGGAAGGGGAAGCAGAACCCCTCTCTGCTAAAAGCCCCTTCCTAATGCATTACATGAGCGAGCAGCTTGATTCATGTGATTGAAACCTCTAATTGTGACACACACCTCCGGTACTGTTCCCTTCTCTTCTGTAATTGTCTCCATGAGCACAGAAGGAGCTGGAGGGAGGGGAGCGGTGTCTTGTCCTTCCCCTGTGCTGCTCCTGTGGGTAACTGGGAAAGAGAATCCTGCTGGAAAGCTGTGGGAGAGGCAGAGCACGCGATGCTTCCTGCACCCTGCATGGAAGCAGAGGGAGCACGGTGCTCATCCTGAAGCAGGGATGAGCTCCAAGCAGGCTCCCTCAGGACTGCTCTTTGCTCTTCAGCTGGGCTTCAAGGGCTCTTTATGACCACTCGTAAGGATGGGTGGTGCTGCCCTCCCTCACATGAGCTTTGCTCGTGGCCGTGTGATGGAAGGGATCGTGTGTGTTAAAGATGGACACGGGTGCTCTGGGGAGCACGTGGATGCTTCGGTGGCTTTGGTGTGTGATGAGATGCTCGGTGGCCGGTGCTGTTTGTGTCCCAAGGGGTCAAGTTCTTTCCCCGTCTTGGGCATCCCGGGGGATGCTGCTCCCTCTGACTGAAACCTGGTTTCTTTATTTCCCTTTCAAAGTGAGGGCATTTCTGTGCTTCCTACTTGGAGCTCACTGCTAGGATCAGGCCTGTAACCCACAGAGCTGCTGCTGTGCGCCTCAGCCTCCCTTCGCCCTTGGACTCCTCAACCAGCTTTGCACATCCGTGCTCTTCGTGCTTTGTGTTCTACCCCTGGCAGCAGGAGATGCCTGTTTGCACCGGCCCGGCACTACGGATGCATCCCTATCAAACCCCAGTGGTGAAGGAGTGGCAGAGGTTGTGCAGACAACTTCTGCTTGGGTCCCGTCCTCCAACCCTCTTGTCTCCATCTCTTCCCACCGCACGGAGCGGCTCCTGCCTGTACAAGCTGTTGCCGTTTCTTCCCTGACAGTGTTTTGGGAGCTGGTGGGATAGGTTCCATCCAAATGATCCCATTGTTGGAGCTTAACAGCCTTGTGGGTCGTGGCACAGGAATGTTGGGATCATGGGGTAGCTGATGCGCTGTGCACTTCTACAGCCTGGAGCTACCGGAGATGTCAGGCTTCCAAGTGCTGCTTCAGTCAGGGGTGACAGGGAATGAAGCTCTCCGTCCGTTCTCTCCCTGCTTGCACATCCCTCCTCCTTCCTCCACATCCTGTGCCACGTGGGGCTGATGAAGCCCCCCCTGAATCCTTGCCCCCTTCCTTGGGGGGGTGCATGCCCTGCTGAATGGCTGCGCCGGGCACTCTCAGTGCTGCTGCCCGTGGAAGGCAGCAAGCAGGGAAGAGCCCAGCACTGCTCCGGCCTCAGCACCGGTTTCAGCACCCGGCCCTGCCTCCCCCACCAGCCTCCTCAGTGCATTCACTTTGCTGTCAGCCCCCGGCATCAAGGATGTCCCTGTGGAGGTGGCACCCAGCGAGCTCCATGTGGGGATGCTGAGGAGCAACCCCAGGCTGAGGCTCTCTCCATGGCAGCCGCTGAGCTACGAGCTCATAGCACTTGATTGGCACAGTGATTTCTATGGGAGAGCAAACCTGAGGGCAGAGGGATGAGGAAGCGTCCATCACCCCCATCCCTGCACTGCCAGCGTGCTCTGAGCTCCAGCGCCGCAGCTGGGAGGCAGATTTACAGTGGGGACATTTATCCATCCTCACCTGCCACCACTGAAGTATTTACTTCTGCCTGGGAGGAAGGTGCCGCTGTGCACTGTCAGCCTGTGTTTGTGTTTTGGAGGGAGAAGCACTCAGGTTCTTTTCTAACCCTCTCTCTGTGCTTGCTCCCATTCTATTGCTACGTTATTATTACCCCCATGTGGGGTTTTATGTTAAAAGTGGTGAATTTGGTGACTTCGTGCGCTCCGTAACGCAGCCCCTGCCCTTGCTGCACCAGGAGGCTCTTTGCTCATGGGCGGAAGCCCATCTGCTGCTGTGAGCAGTGGGGCTCTGCTGGAGGGATCCCAACAAGAACGTGGCAGAGTTTCCATGTCCCATGGGTGCTCGTCCCCGTGTTCCCCAGGGAGCAGCCTGCCAGGTCCATGCATCCTCTGCCCAGGGATGCCCCTTCCCACCCTGCTTCTCCTGCAGCCTCCTGATGGGCATCCCTGAGCCAGTGCTTCCACAGGCTCCCGGTGCTCTGCTGGAGCTCTGGAGTCCCTCGGGCACTGGGATAAGGCAACGTTTGCCCATCTGAGCTGCAGCAGAAGAGGACCCAAAGGACTTCACTCGACCAGATGCTCAGTAGGTGCCACCAGCCTGCTTTACCCATCGCCTCTTCCTATCAAGCTCCAGCAGCAGAGATTGGGTGCGTGGTGAAGGGTCGATAGGGTCAGATCTTGCTTTGAATGACCTGGGGCAGCCGGGCTGCTTTTCCTTCTCTTTCCCGATTCCTCAAGGCAGCTCAGCCTTACCCAGTCTCGGTGATCCCCCCAATGAATGGCATCTCCCGCAGCGAAGCTCCTGCAGCATCACCGGCCTATGAGACGTTATCAGTTCTGTAAGGGGAGCAGCACAAGGGTGGCTCAGAGTGCCCAGGCTGCCTCTGCCCTCCCTCTCGTTGTCCTACCTCAGCAGATCAGATCGTCTCTCTCTTGCTGGCCATGTTTCACCCCCAGACAATCTGAGATGCCATTTCTGCAACTGTCAATCAGTTCCATGACAACAGCTCCCTGCCTTGCTGCCTGGGTGCTTTTATCCCCCTGCTGCTGCAGGGGGGGTTTATGCTGCTTGGGGGGGGTGCTTTGCTTGGGTTTGGGGTGATTGTTGCTGCTCTGCTTTCATGTAGCATCTCCATGAGCAGAGCAAGTCGTCCATCAGCATCTTTGTGCACAAGGACTGGAGCTCACCTCGGTGTCAGACTTGTTCTCTTTGTGCACGTGAGGTCCTCTTCCAGGGGAGGAAGGAGCAGGATGAAGGATGCTGAAGGACAGGTCCCTGGTGGCAGATTTTGGTACCGATAGAATGGGAAATGAGCCCAAGCTCTCGCAGGTTTCCTGCACCTTTCTTCCATGCTTGCCCTTGCGGGCAATAGGCAGGAGAAGCCACGCTCCTCTGGAGGCAGCCTGCACCCAGAACTGCTTTCCACAGCAAAACCTTCCTTTTAGATCAGTTCTGGACCTTGGAGCTCCCCGGTGCTCGCAGTGAGGTGAAAACCTGGGGCAGCGGCCTGGAATCCGCACACAGAGCAGGGCTGGGCACAGCTTCTCCCTGCACCATCCCAGCCCTGCTTGGGCCTCCTCCTCCCCTAACCCCGAGCCCCAAAGCCCTGCAGTGCCCCCAAGCACCCCCCAAAGGGTTGGGAAAAGAAACCACTCAGATGCAAAACATGCAAAAAACTATTTTACTGACAAACAGCAAAGGACGGGGCTGAAGGCTCCGGCGCTGGACGGCTCCTCTATGGCACAGCCCCAGGGCAAGGGAAGGAACGGCTCCACCACACTCACCCGTTGACCCGAGGGAAATCACAGTGTGCTTTTCCTATTGCCTCCCGCCACCCCGAGCCCTCCGCTGCTCCCCTTCGCCTCGGCACAGCACTCACCCCCCCGTACCCCAGCGCAGGCTGCTGCGGGTGACCCTTGCCTGGGCGAGTGTATTGAGTAAGAGAAATTGGCCATTATTGCTTTTCAATCACAGCAAAGGTCATGCTGCGATGAGGCTTGGAGCAGAGCATCGTCTCCCTGCGTGCGCTGTAGCTCTTCCTGTCTGATGCGTGCAAACCCGGTCTGAGTGCAGAACGAAGTAAAGGAGGATCAAGGAAAAGAGCATCCCCGAGTCCTGTCC